GACATTATTTGTTTTTTCATAGCAACTTAAGTTAGTAGGTTATAAAAATTCCAAATTAATACGACTGGTAATGTTTATTTAACCCTGCTTCTCTCATAACATTTGGCTAAAACCTCAGCAAATGTAAACAAGTAAGATGACATGCACTGGTCGGCAGGGGATGCTCACTCCTCCATGGCACCTGACCCACCTCTAAATTTTGAGGTCTGTATTTGCTCTGCTTCAAATTTATATCGTTCATTGGACTTTCGAGATTGAATACTGTTCGTTATCTTCATATTTCATCTGCTTATTGAGTTCGTATCATTTAATCATTGAATCATATAATAAAAAAATATTGCTGTTTTTTCAGTCAATACGATGATTTAGCCACCTTCGAAGTATAATATTCATCACGGCCTTCGGGCTCAGTGAATATTGTACTCCTCAGGTGGCTAAATCATCGTATTGACTGAAAAAAAAAACAGCATCAATTGTATAATAATGACCCTGCTTTTCTTTAAAGATTTTTCCCTATTATATTTGCATGTAGAAATTTCATAGTCTATTGTGACCCCACTCTTCCTGCAGGTTTAGTTTCAGTTTCAGTTCTTTATTTTGTGGGATCTATGTCATATTGTAATTTTTGAATTTACCGGGTGGTAGTAAATACAAAAATTACAATATGACCTATGTCATATTGTAATTTTTGAATTTACCGGGTGGTAGTAAATACAAAAATTACAATATGACAATTTACTACCACCCGGTAAATTCAAAAATTACAATATGACACGTACATCCCATAAGTAATATATAATTACAGTACAATATTTATCAATTACATACAAAGTACAATAACATGTATTACACTTACAAACTTGTGATACTTACATTCTTTTATTTAGCTAATTGTTTTAAACATTCTAATCGTAAGTTTATGATTTGAGCAAATTTAATCCGCCTTATCTGATGATGCTTGTATAAAATATATTGTTGTTCTTGAGGAGAAAATTTAAAAAGTTTTTTCCCTTTATAAATCCATGTAAAACATTGATCCCCAATTGTGGTCCACTGTTGGACCTGTGATTTTAAAATATTGAAACTGCACCATGCGCGGATCTAGAGCCCCCCCCCCTGGAATTTGCAGTTATTAAAGGTATATACTGAAGCAAAAAAAATGACTTTGCCCCCCCCCCCCCTTAGAAAACGTGGATCCCACCATCACCACCACGAAATAGGTGTTTTTCATGTTTGGGAAATGGATTTTGTTTTTTTAATTTAATTATTTATTTGTTTATTTATTTATTTATTTTTTTTTTTTTTTTTTTTTTTTTTGCTTGTCAAGAAATTGAGAATTTTTTTTGGGTTTAATTCGTTTGTGAAGGGAATTTTTTTTTCTTTTGCATGTCAAAAAATTTTTGGGTTGGATTTTTTTTTTGATTGGGGTGGACCCCCCTCCCCCCCCCCCCCCCGGAAAAAATCCTGTATCCGCGCCTGTGCACTACCTGTTGATGCTTGCATATAAATATGACTATCATGACATTGCTGCCTTGAGAAATTTTTCTATTTATCTCTATGTAAAACTCTGATCCCCTACTGGGGCCTACCCTTCTACTGGGCCTATGATTTGCACAATTGGTAATCTGCTTATATTCATTAATTTAACTAATAATGGCCCAATTGTTCTTGAGAAGATTTTAAAAAAAATTGCATATTATTTCCATCTAAAACGGAGATCCCCTATTTGCCCCTCTACCACCAGGGGCCATGATTTGAAAGTTTTTAATGTGCATTACCTCGCTTGGGGAAACTTGGCCATGTTAATATGTAATCATGGCAGTGCTGTTTTAAATTATGCTAGTGTTGCACCTACAGCGAAAGCAATAATTCTTATCACCCACTGTTATTTTAAATTTGCATTTAACCAGCTGTTAACTATACCTTATCATTTTAACCGGCTACTTATAATGTGGAGCGGTACTAAGAACTATTAAGATAAGTAGACTTAAAAGATTACAACAATGTAAAATTTTCATATGTGAGTAGCTTTCGTAATCTGTATAGCTAGGTGTGGTAAGCCAACTAAATCTGACTGGACATTTAAACTATGAATGATTCGTATAATATGATTCCTACAGATCACACGCCAAATACGCCCATCTTCTTTATAAAGATAATTTCTTTTATACCGGTATGACATTACAATGTAAAACTTTTACCCCCTACTGTGGCCAACCCTACCCCCGGAGGCTATGATGGACAATATTTTATCTACACTTACTAAACTGCTATATAAGCTTTCACTAAAGCAATGAATAAGGGAGCGCAAAAAAGGGCCAACTTTGAAAATAAATTGTACAAGAGGCCCGGGGCCACATCGCTCACCTGAGCACTGTCGCTAGGAAAAAACAAAATCAGTTTAGTATTGCAATACCTAAATGCATGAGTAGTCCCGACCTACCCCGAAAAGGGAGGGGGTATGATTTGAACAAAATTGAATCTACACTAACTAAGGATGCTTACACATTAAATATTTTTTTTTGACGAACTGTGACTTTTTTTCTTACAAATTTAAACTTTCATTGTGGCCCCTATACCTACCCCGGAGGGTCATGATTTGATCAAACTTGAATCTACACTATCTGAGGATGCTTCCATATAAATATGACCAATCATGGCTTTGCTGTTCTTGAGAAGATTTTCTAAGATTTCTCCTATATATTCCTATGTAAAACTTTGATCGTCCATTGTGGCCCCACCCTACCCCGGGAGTCATGATTTGATCAAATTTGAATCTACACCACCTGCGGATGACTCCATATAAATATGACCAATCATAGTTTTAATGTTCTTGAGAAGATTTTTGAATTTTTTTCTTATATACTCCTATGTAAAACTTAGATCGTCCATTGTAGTCCTACCCTACCCCCAGATTTGAACAAATTTGAGTCTACACCACCTGAGAATGCTTCCATATAAATATGACCAATCAAAGCTTTGCTGTTCTTGAGAAGATTTTTGAATATTTTCCCTATATATTTTCCTATGTAAAACTTTGATCGCCCACTGTGGCCCCGCCCTACCCCCCGTGGGTCATGATTTGAACAAACTTGAGTCAACACTACCTGAGGATGCTCATATAAATTTGACCAATCAAGACTTTGCTGTTCTTGAGATGAAGATTTTTAAAGCTTTTCCGTATGTATTCCTATGTAAAACTTTGATCGCTCACTGTGGCCCCACCCTACCCAGGGGGGTCATTATTTGAACAAACTTGAATTTACACTACCTGAGGATGCTTCCACATAAGTTTCATATTTTCTAACACAGTGGTTCTTGAGAAGAAGATTTTTGAAAGATGCCATAAATTTTTCATGAATTCGCAATTATTTCCCCTTGGAAGAAGGCGTGGCCCTTCGTTTGAACAAATTTGAATCCCCTTCACCCATGGATACTCTGTGCCAAGTTTGGTTGAAATTGGCCCGGTAGTTCTGGAGAAGAACATGAAAATGTGAAAAGTTTACGACAACAACAACGACGACGCCAACGACAGACAACGAGCAAATTTTGATCAGAAAAGCTCACTTGAGCCTTTGGCTTAGGTGAGCTAAAAAGATTTAGATATACAATCATACAATCGATAGTTTGTCCTTCGAATTCGGAATATGGGCTATCACATAATCCATTGTGAATTTCCATATATGGTATTAATTTGACGGCCACGTTGAATTTTGTCTATCCTCCGAAAACGGAGATTGTCTGGACCCGTTATTCGGCTGCTAAGTTCACAGGCACCTGACATGTGGACCCCCCCCCCCCCAATAAAAAGTGAGAGCTTGTAATTTCTGAAGATTATGATTTCCCCTTCAATCACTTCCATGTGTCGTCCTATGCCAACAGATGGTGCTTTTCCTTATGTTTAAAGACTGACCATTTACGTGGCGAACCTTTCAACCTAAGAAAAGGCACAATCTGCTGGCGTAGAACAAGATATGGGAGTAATTGACGGTGAAATCTCATATTTTTGAGAATTATAAGCTCTTACTATTTTTTTTTTTAATTTAAGGGGGATCCACACTTATCAATAAAAACCTACAGCGATACAAAGTAAATATCATCGTCGCAAAAATAAACACATTTCTGATTTTATACTAGGTGGCGCGTAAAAAAAAATTACACTGAATTTCTCCTTGAAGCAAACTACCCCCCTCCCCCATCCATGTATGATTGGTTTGTTGTCTCTTTGGCTCCAAATCAAGCCATTTCAGCCAATAAGAGCTTAGAGTCATTCATTCATATTCATGTAACAACAACTTGTACACGTATCTTGGTGTAGTCTACTTCTCTGTCGCGTGATATTTTCCTTGTTTATGGTGGCAGATTGGGGTGGGGATGCCCCCCCCCTTTTTTTTTTAATCTTAAAAAAAGGGGGGGGGGTGATTGTGAGTTATTTTCAGTTGTTTTTTTTTCCAAAAAAGTTTGCACCCCATTCCCTCCTAATTTGCAATCTTGAATCCACTTTTTTTTCTTACCAAAGATTCAAATTAGGCTTTAATAATATGTTTAGTATTTGAAAAGTTGTTTATAGGCAAACAAGTAGACTACAAGTTTTTTTCTGTCCTGCAACTTGTATAGCTAAAAAATAAAACCCTTAAGCCTTTTAAAACAAACATTTTGTAGCTATTACTTAGGTTTAATTACACAATTCCATCCTCATTCAATATGAACACAATTAAGAGAAATCATAAATGATTTTGTCAATAAAATACAAATACATGTTAAGGAAATTCCCATTGTTTACAAGCAGTAATAATAGTTATATAGTTAATTTGCCAAGCTGTATATTTTACCATATGTTGTTACAGAACAATTTTCATTTAAAGTGCAAATATTTGGATTCAAATGTATGTACAGCAGAAAGTAAAAAATAAATATTTGAAAGCTTACTTACACTTATGTACAATAACAAATAAACATCAATTTATTAAGGCAAATTTAATATAAAACAATATTTATATAATTTTCTAATTATACACTGTATATCACTATAAAAAAGTATCTATATATGCAAAAACATTTATGTTCAATAAACCATAAAAAGTTGCAGAGAAGATTGAACTGGGTTTTTTTTTCTCTCTTTCAAAAATCAAAATCTAGTTTACTTTTTACAAAACATCACTGTGGGGTTGAGTAACTGCTAAATGTGATGACTGCACATTTAAATAATTGGGAGGAATGTAGTCTTCTTCCTCCCCCTCCTCATCTTCCTCCTCAGAACCATCTAACTCCTCATCTTCATTATCATAGGCAGCAAAATCCGAGTCAATGGATGGAAAGACAGGCTTTGAGGAGGAAATGGCCTGAGTTTGTGAATAAGTCTGACCGCTAGGCCGGCTTTCTTCAGGGAGGCCACTCTGGTTCTTTACTTCACCCTCCTCTAAGTTACGGTCCAGGTCTGGTTCCTTGTACACTGAGGAACTCATTAACTGATCTCTACTGCGTTTACCATTTTCCTCATTGAAGGTAGCCACCATATGTCCCATAAGGAGATCGGTGTCATCCATATTCCCTGTTGAACCCTTGCCAAAGCGGTTCTCCTTATGTCTCCTAATGTGACGCTGAAGGTATCGCTTCTGGGTAAACATTTTGCTGCATAAATAACAAGCAAATTTCTCAGTAGAGAAGTGAAGATGCATGTGTTGCTTCAGATTTGGAGCAGTGGTAAATCTCTGATGACAGACTTCACAAGAAAATGGCTTCATCTTAGTTGGTCGTTCTGTTTCGTCTATTCCTTCTTCCTTTAACTGTTGGTGGCGTTTAAGATGTCTATATAGATAGCGATCCTGGCAGAACTGCTTCCCACAGATGTGACAAGTAGCTGTAAAGACTTCCTTGTGAATTGACCTGTGTCTGTCCAGATCTTGTTTACATTTGTAACTCTTATCACAGTCAGGACAGGGAAATGGTCGATTCTCACTGTGGGTCAACATGTGCCGCTGTAGAATGTTAGTGTGGCTAAATTTTCTGCCACAGATGTGGCAAGGAATGTGGTCAGAAGTGTTATGTATGATCATATGATGTTTCAGTTCAAATCCAGAGACAAATTTCTTGTCACACATGGTGCAGGGGAACTGGCGATCATTCATGTGTCGTTTCATATGTTTAGCCAGACTGCTATTCAGCTCTTTTCCACAGAGTTCACATTTATAAGGCTTTTTGCCTGAAAGAGCAAATTGTTCAGTTTAAGAGATAGGGTACATGCAAAACAGAAATGTTGTCACACATCAACTTGCATTATGCTCATTAATATCTTTAACAAAACATATTTCACGTGCAACTTATGCCATATTAGTTTTCATATCTCCCAAATCAGCACTAGGGTATATATACTCTCCACATTTGTTACACCTGATTGCACACTTGGAACTCATGGCTGATAAAATTATGAGGTATTTCTTAGTATTTACATATTTTAAAATTTGTTGTTTTACGTGCATTTTGTGTTTGTTTGACTTTGTAATGCATTGACCTATGCAATTGATGTTACTTTTTCTCTTGACATGGTATAGCGGTGGGGTGTCCTAAAATGTCCACACAGGTGAGATCTGTATAGTGATTTACTTTGATCCCTGAAGAAGTCAGTCTTATATATGGACTCGTGAAATTGAAAAGAACGAAGAGAAATATGGTGGACAAGGATAAATCTCTTCCTTTTACGAGTCGTGTTCAGCTTTAATTAAGAAAGAAAAAGTTTTCAAACTGTTACCATGGCTCCAACTTAAAACATTTGTTCAGCAATGGTTGTATATAATTTTCCAGAGTACAAAAAATACACAAAAATATCTTCTAATTTTTTTTTGGATCTAATAAGAGCAGAGTATTACCATGAATATGCATCAGCAAAGTTTAAAAACTTCCATTTTAATACACAGAGAATTACTAATAGTCAATTCACAAGGAAACACCAACAAACTGAAATTTATTTACTACAAAACAACCAACACCCTTCCATTGATTTATAAAAAAAAATTAACAATCAACACAAATGCAAAAAGCTTCCAAAATATTGACACGATTACCTGTATGTCTGGTCATGTGACGTCGTAGATGCCCAGACTCCCTGAAGCTCTCCCCACAGACTTCACATGTGAAAGGCTTGTCCCCAGTGTGTACCCTCATGTGGTTTCTCAAGAGATCATTACGGAAAAATATCTTACCACACTCATCACACACAAAAACGCTGTCCTTCTTAGCTGTAAAGAAAAAGTTAATAAATTCAAAATATGCTGTTAAAAGAAAAAGCATGTATCATAGATGAGTGTTATTCTTTGAACAATACAAATTACTGTAAAATGTAAATATGAAAAGAAAAATTATCCTTCCATTTATTACATAATTTAAATTATATCAATGGAACAGATTTATATAGAATGAAGGCAATGGGTAAGGTACAATATGTGTATAATAACCTCTCAAATTTAGTTTCATATGAGGGACTGACTCATCCAAACCACAAATTAAATTAAAAAATAAATTGATAGAAAAATTTTCCAATACATAATGTACACTGATAAAAACTTTCAGGAGATAGTTTTGAACATGATCTATATATACAACTGCAGAAAAAATACCCGGTATCTATTCTGAACACGCTCTTCATCAGTCATTACCTGTTCTCTTCTTTTTATTTCCAGGAGACTCCTCATTTGGGGGAATTACAAACAATGTGTCCGAATCTGTACACACTGTGGTTGGGAGCTCTTCTTCATCTTTCTGCTTCTTTTTTCTTGCCTTCTTTTTAGGGGCTTCCTTCTCACTGCTTTTCTTTGTAGCCTTTCTCTTCGGTGCTTTTTTAGGTGTCTTTATTTTGATTTTCAGGGATTTCTTTGGAGGTTCTGGTGTCCAGTCTGAGTCACTTTTGTCCTTCTCAGTTATACTTGAGTCCTCCAGTTTTTGAAAATAAGCCTCAGCTTCGTATTCATCAGTTGTAGATCCAGAGTCCTCATTGTGGGGGAAGTCTTCAACAGGATCATCGTCTGATAAATGATCTGTTGGTGCAGTATCTTCCACATCAACATCAGGGGGTTCTTCCTTAACACTGATTGTTAAATGTTGTACCTTTGTAAATGAATCTGAATTTAGCTCTGTTTCTGTCACTATGGCTTTGAGTGGGCTTTGATCTGGAGTCTGACTGCTACAAGAAGCACTAGGACTCCCTGCTATGGATTTCACTGGACTTGGATCTGGAGTTTGAATAATGGAAGGAGCATCAGGGATCTCTGTTTGCTCTTTGTGATTCTGGTCCTGAATATTGTCTGGAATACTTTGTTCATAAGATTCACTTTCTGTATTTGACTTCGTTTCCATATTCTTACTAGACTCACTCAGGACAGCACCCTGTAGATTCTGTGTGCCTTGGTTTATCAAAGTATCCTGTAAATTCAGTGATTCTTCATCTGTCACCATGTCCTTTTTTGTCCCCATCATAGATGCTGCTTGCTCAACTGGTTTGGAGATGGTACACTGCTGCACTCCCTGGGTGCTTTGTGAAACATCCCATGATAAGTCAGACAGTCTTTTTCTCCCAGAGGATTTGCTTTTAAACTGTTGCTGATTGGGAACTGCTGGTGTCAGCCCCATTCCAGCAGCATAGGACAAATAATCCCAGTTCATAAGGGAAGGATCTGACTGATCGCTAAACTGGTTCACTATTGACTGGTCTCCCTGAGCTACAGCCAGTCTTCTGTACAGAGCCATCTGTGTTTCCTCAGCAAATTTCTGAAATGATGCAATTTCTGCTTCAGTAGTATCTGTATGTGCCCTGTGACTGATCTCCGAGGAACCTCCTTGCACGGAAGGGAAGTCTGGGATCTGCTTAGGTAATTTGGGTTCTCTCTTGTCTAAACTTGGAGTTCCTCTATTCTGTATAAGCAAACAAAAAATGGATAAATACTCATTCCTTTGTTCAACAAAACTCTGGGTTCACAGCTAAGTACGGCCTAAATTGTTTACACAAAGGTGATAATTTTGACACTGTAATTACTTGAGGTTTAATTATTAAAATATGGCCAATGGGCAATCAAAATTTGCCTTGAATAGCAACTTAGCCAAACTGCTCCTGGCAAAAAGGATGACACTGGAATTACAATAACTGCTTTAAGTGTAGCGCCCAGAAGTTATATTAGGTGACAGAATAACATTAATATATAATAAATAGAAATATGCATTGAATACTATCAGCAAAGTATTCCATTTTTTAACATACGTGTAATATATATATCTCATTTTAAAAAATATACAAAAACTTCTGCTTAATATTATTATACTTGGCTCCAATCACATTGATTTCGGAAGAGGTAGCTGCATATTTTTGATATACATGTACATCATTACTTGATATACAAAAATATTTCATCTCACTCTGTGCAAAAATTGTAAATTTCAAGAAAAAAAAAGTTTGTTTTTTTCCATTGTGGGTAAACAGTTTGTTCATAGAAACTTGGCAAAAAGTTTGTTTCAGGATGTTTTCAACTGTAAGCAAAGGTATCTGTTGATCTTGTTCAGTTAACAGACTCAGAGGAATAAAGCACATCTTTTTAAAGTTATACACATTTGTTCATTTCCTTTAAAAGTATTATTTGTGTCACATTTTATGCCTAATGTAAATGATGAAAACAAATGTGAACTTACAGTTGAGTAATTTTTTTTTCCACTAATGGATTTAGTCAGCTACAATAAACATATAACTGCTTTTACATCTATTCAAATTGTTTACAAAATTTTCAAACCTGACCATTCTTTAAAAAGATGAATATTATACATGTATCATTTCTTTGTCAGTCTTATTACAAGAGGCCAAAGGGCAACAAAGCTCACCTGTGTTACCTTTGCCCTGTGGTTCAAGGAAGACATGACTTAAACCAGGGGTAGAAACTCTCTAAACATACAACTCGCAAATAACTGCAAGTACCAATAAAGTGAACTCGCAATTTCACAAGACTACTCGCAATTTTAAAATAAAAGCTTTTTTTCTAATTTAAAATTAAATACATGTATCTTAAGGATAAAGTAACTTCTGTTAAATAAAGAAAATACAACTAGAGTCTCACTGTGTTTTATATATATTATATTGAATTGAATCAAAAGCATTTTGTTCTGTAAAACTTATACAAATTATATTATATAATTTTGGACCACTTTCTATGCATGTTTTTTTTCCTCCAGTTCTTCTTGATCTACTCTTGATTTTTCTTGATCTAAGTTTAAGAAATCTGGTAAAAAATCAACTCGCAAGTTTTTGCGAGTTACTATATTTTCAACTCGCAATTTTGATATTCTAACTCACAGTTTGCGAGTAATATACATGTATATTGAATTTTGAACCCTGTTAAACAAACTTGAATTAACACATAATGGGATGCTTCAATATCAATATGACTTACAATTCCTTGCTGTTCTGGAGATATATTTCTATGTAAAACTCTTGATCCCCCATGGTGGCCTCACCCTACCCCCAACCCATCCATCTCATGATTTGAACAAATTTAAATTAAAAGTACCTGATGATGCTTTCATACCAATATGACTAATCATAGCTTTGCTCTTCTTGAGAAGATTTTTAAAAAAAAATCTCCTATAAATTCCTATGTAAAACTTTGATCCCCCATTGTGCCCCCTACCCTCAGGGGTTATGATATGAACAAACTTGAATCTACACTATCTGAGGATGTTTCCATATCAATATTGCTTTACTGTTCTTGAAAAGAAGACTTTTAAAGATTTTTCCCTATATATTTCAATGTAACACTTTGATTCCCCATTGCCTAACTTAATACTTTTTTTGGTAAAAACTATAAGCAAAATCGAAAGTTTGTTTAAGAAAGTAGAACTTACAGAAAAGGGGCGTTACGGCCTTTTATGTACAGGTACACAGAGTTCTTGGTGAACAGTCTAGCTATGAAACAAAGAAACATTTCCCTGGAACATATTTTTTTCATTTTAAAAAACCATATGATATCATTCTTGTGTGTTTTCTCTTGTTTTCAGGCCTGTAGGAAGCATTTTCATCGGGTTGGGGTGGGTGGGGGGAGCAGTGGGCACAAAACAAACATTTGTTGATAAGCTTACCCCCCCCCCCCCAAAAAAAATGAGACATTCCTGGTGAGGGGGCACAATGATAAATTAGCCTTATTTCTTTTCTTATGTATTTACTGACAAAATCATTGAGGGGGCACAATCAGAAATTGCTTTTTTTTTTACTGGTATAGTATATACTGGCACCCTCACCCTACTCGCTACCCACGGACCTGGTTCAGGGCCATAAAACTTAGATGAGCTCACTTTTGATCCCAGTCTCTCTTTTCTACATACTATTAATTCCTTTGGTAAACATGAGACTGTGATCAAAAGTGAGCCCGTCTAAGTTTTATGGCCCTGGTGCAAGATGTTTCAAATAATAATGATAAATATGACTGCCATTTTTGATTGCCCGCTTATGGTACACAAATATCAGGTCTTTTAAATTGATATTGTCATCCCATTATTTTTTTAAAGGAGGACAGAGAAAATTTTTATCACTAACAAATCTCAGGGCCGAAGTAGGATGGAGCAAAAGGTTGGGCTCCCAACTTTTTGTGTGGAGAATAATCTTTTTCAGCTTTTTACATATGAAAATTCATTTATAAGCTGCACCCTCCCCACTTCTTTTTTTGTAGTATCATCAAACTCTGGCAAATTCTTGCATTGAAAAAAAAAGTTACTGTAAAGTTAAAGAAAGATATCCTAAACATCGCCTCCCACGAAGGAGGAGTTTTGGCAGTTTATTTATTCAATCTTCATTTTTTTTTTTAGCCCCCCCCCCTTTCGATAAACATTGATATGGATCTGCATCTACTGAGCAGTTGTTGTTCTTTTTTAATATGATATCACTGCAATTACATTAGTTCTTAATATACTGGGGCACTGATCACAGTAGTCTAGTAGTTGGGCGCTAGCTTCGTAGGCGATGGGAGGGTAAGAGTTCGCTTGTCCTAAGTTCCTAGTGCCGGCCAGCAAAATGTAAGATGTTTAACATACGTGTTGGTAATGACTATTCCTTCGGCATTTAAAGTCAAATTGAATGATTTTTTGGTTGAGACCTTAAAAACCGAAGCCCATCTAAATCCCCGCAAGCCCTGAATAAGCGGATAATGATTCATGTCCCATCGTCAAATAAAATAAAATTAAGAAGATAAAATAAAATTGGAACATATAATAAAACAAAAAGCAAGAATCAAAATTAAATAAGAAATTCAAATGAAAATATAATATGGAAGTTAGAATAAAAAAAGAAATAAAATCTAAATAATTTATTTCAGTTGGAAAAAGAAGAAGTTAGAATAAAAAATAAAGGTAAAAACTGTGGCACTGATGCCCCTCCATAGTTTCTCATTATCAAAATTCGACATTCATGTAGACTTTACATTTGTAGACTTGTCATTGTCTTTGTGTTTTATTCAGAGCGAGGAAATATAAATTCCGGGAAACAAAGTTTACAACATCAAAAATACACACATTCATAGTATAAACTCAAAGTCAACACAGTTGCATATTCGGAACTACATGCTAGGATGTTGGAATTACCTACTTACATATGTAGACTATGAAACTGATACGATTACAAGTTTGGATTTACAAACTTACAAGTTTGGATTTACAAACTTACAAGTCTGGATTTTTGAACACGATTACCCTCCATACTCTTGTGGCCCTACTCCATCCCTGGGAGCTATATTTTGAGCAAACTTTCACCTAAATTTTCTTTTTTGAACCAAGGATTTGTGAGAAGACGATTTTAAAAAGATGCCACAAATTCACTTTTTCCTAATTACCTCCCCTTAATTCAAGAATACTTTGTAGAAAGTTTAGTTGAAATGGCCCATTGGTTCTGTAGCAGAAGTTCAAAATTTGTAAAGTCCACACACAATACATGACAATCTTTGATCAATAAAGCTCACTTGAACATTTGGATTGGATGAGCTAAATATTGTACTTGTTGTGAATTAATATTGTACTTACTGAATTTTCCTGGAATGTGCCCTTTTTATGCGTCAGTATGTGTTGTTTGAGTTCAAAGCCTGATACAAATTTCTTGTCACAGAGAACACATGAGAACTGCCGATCGTTGAGATGCCGTCGGAGATGTTTGGCCAGGCTACTGTTGAGCTCCTTCCCACAAATGTAACACTGATAAGGCTTCTTACCTAATAAACAGGAAGAAATTAATGGAAAAATAATGATAAATTCATTAACAGAGGCAAATTCTCTGTATTAATCCAACACAAAACAATAAAACAGAAAATTAAAATTTTATAGATTTGCTCTCCAAGCTATCTTTCTAGCAGAACCATTAACTTAAGAATCTTTACATTAAATATATTATGGAATATAATCCTTAAGTTTTAGATTATGTACTGACAGGAGCAATTTATGAACATATTTTCTGACCTATATGGCAGAACATGCATTCTTAGGAGGATTACTGAACTAAAATAAATAATAATATAGGTACATCACACAGTCAGTAATTAACCTGTATGTCTGGTCATGTGACGTCTCAGATGCCCCTGCTCTCTGAATTTGTCCCCGCAAACTTCACAGGTAAATGGCTTGTCCCCAGAGTGAACACGCTTATGATTGCGCAATAAATCAGCTCTGTTGAAGATTTTCCCACACTCCTCACACATGTAGCTCTGAGGTTTTCTCTTCCCTTGATATAAAATGTTTCTTTTTAAACATTTTTATTGAAAACAATTCAATCAAATATTACTGCAATATATATATTTAAGAATAAATTCTCTTAACCTTTTAAATTCATAAATGTATTCAACAAAATTACACTATAAGATTTGATGTGAATGTTGCTCTAGATTTGTAATACATTATAAGATTTGATGTGAATGTTGCTCTAGATTTGTCATACATTATAAGATTTGATGCGAGTGTTGCTCTAGATTTGTCATACATTATAAGATTTGATGTGAATGTTGCTCTAGATTTGTCATACATTATAAGATTTGATGTGAATGTTGCTCTAGATTTGTCATACATTATAAGATTTGATGCGAGTGTTGCTCTAGATTTGTCATACATTATAAGATTTGATGCGAGTGTTGCTCTAGATTTGTCATACATTATAAGATTTGATGTGAATGTTGCTCTAGATTTGTAATACATTATAAGATTTGATGTGAATGTTGCTCTAGATTTGTCATACATTATAAGATTTGATGCGAGTGTTGCTCTAGATTTGTAATACATTATAAGATTTGATGTGAATGTTGCTCTAGATTTGTAATACATTATAAGATTTGATGTGAATGTTGCTCTAGATTTGTAATACATTATAAGATTTGATGTGAATGTTGCTCTGGATTTGTCATACATTATAAGATTTGATGCGAGTGTTGCTCTAGATTTGTCATACATTATAAGATTTGATGCGAGTGTTGCTCTAGATTTGTCATACATTATAAGATTTGATGTGAATGTTGCTCTAGATTTGTCATACATTATAAGATTTGATGCGAGTGTTGCTCTAGATTTGTCATACATTATAAGATTTGATGTGAATGTTGCTCTAGATTTGTCATACATTATAATGATGTGAGTGTTGCTCTAGATTTGTCATACATTATAAGATTTGATGCGAGTGTTGCTCTAGATTTGTCATACTTGGTGGTTTTGGAAATTTGATTTCCTCCATATCATCTCCTTGTCTCCTGTCAGTAGCACTACTGCTCTCATCTTTACTCTCTTTATTTTTATCTCCCTTGACTTCATTTGAGTTCTCCATATGGATGTGACTTTCAATTTTAATCTCTCAACAATAAACTTGACTCCAGATTTAAAACTTGTTCACTAAGAAAAATCTGTAATACATGTATAAGTATACACAGTAAAATTCAGTTAAACAAAGTCCTGGGAACCTCAGAATTTACTTGTTATGTCTGTAAATCACTATATCTATATTACAAATTTGCTAACTATATTTAGCAAATTTGCAATAAAGATTTTTTCCCTTCTGTTATGACTACCAAATGTATTTTGGAAAGTATTAAATAGAAAGTCACCTTTGAGTTAAAAAGTTGTAAGATGAATTGAATTTCAATATTTTAAAGTTGAAATATTTGAAGTTGAGTTATAAAAGATGCAATTTGTTAAAATTTTTAATCTCTAGGCAACACAAAATTAGTTCTATATTGGTAAATTCTCTATATTCAATTTTATTTTATCAGTAAAATTTTACAAAGAATTCTTAAGAATTTTGCCTAGGATTCAAAGAAACTTCACTTTATTTGTAATTTCACAATATATCTGTTCATACTATACAAGCTTTACTGTATGCATCAACTAAAATCTTTTAAATAATCACAGAGAGGAGGTATAAAATAAAGGACACAAATTAACGCATAAATTATAGTTATAAAAACTAACTGCGGAAAAGCAAGAGGGAGCTGAAATACATCTGAGGAAAAGCAGGATGGCCTTAAACTACATTATTAATAATAGAAGGACTATTAAAGTTTTTTTTCTTGGATGAATTAATTATACATAAAATACCACAAAGATAAAGAAAATCCTTAGTTTGAAATTTTCAATTTTATTTATCAGATATCTATAGAGAATCTTGAATGCTTAGGAGTAAGAAACCTGAAATGTTTATACAATACTTACACTCTGAACATGTTGAGTTGCAGCTTGAGACAAATTTTATGTTTACTATGCAGTGGCAGATTTACTATAAAACTGTCAAAGTTAGCGTAAATCATAGTTTCATCAAGAAAATGTAAAAATGTCTACTTGGTAGATCTCATTTTTACCCTACAAAATCTCTAGAATCCAGGAGCTTCTGGGGGGCTTCACCCCATGGGCCCCCACCAGGGCTTCACCTGGGCCCACTGACCCCCAGCTTACTTTTTGAGTCCTCCTAACTTCAATTCCTCACAATCCGCACCTGCTATGTATTTTATTACAAAAATCAATAATAAATAAAACTAAATCTTTGTATTTCCCATGTTCAAGAAAATCTGTAGTATTTTAGTGGTATTTTCTGGTCAACCCTGTCAGATACCTGCTGTACTACCCCCCCCCCCCCTTTTCTCTCCTCGGCTACTTCCACCTGTCAGCAAATCTAAAAATCATCTAAACCTTTCTAAATGCACTTTTATTAAAACGTATTGTTGTAGCTTATTCCTTTACAACACCTGTCTGACATGATAGATATCAAATTTTGGAATGCCCCAAGGGCCTACTTAGCATGCATCACGTCTATTTATGCATATTTCAACCCCTTGTTCACGATTAATTTAATAAATGTTGATCATTACATTGTTCACAACGAAATGTAATTATTGTTCAATACCTTAATTTATCGTAGATCATGTACACTTGTTGGACAGAAATAAAATTATGCGTGGGGTCCTGGCGAGACAAACAGCGGAAATCAATATTTACACTGTATTAAATGAATCGAAACGATAACGAATCCGGATTGACTGAAAGCTGTGGTTGTCAAAGTTAGGACTTCCCGTAAATAGAAGTTTACCACTTTGACAATAAATAAATAAATAAATAAATAAATAAATGAATAAAATAAAACAACACTATAATATATGGTTTACAACTCTAAACTACAGTTAACCATAGGCACTCCCCAGCTTAATTGTTAAAAAATATATATTTACTATACTATAAACATGTTTATAGTATAGTAGATATATATTTTTTAACAATTGAGCTGGGGAGTGCCTATGGTTAACTGTAGTTTAGAGTTGTAAACCATATATTATAGTGTTGTTTTATTTTATTTATTTATTTATTTATTTATTTATTGTCAAAGTGGTAAACTTCTATTTACGGGAAGTAAATGATGATCCCCCGGGGAAGTAAATGGTCAGAAGAGTATATGAGAAGAGAGAGAGATAATGAACCAGGAGATCAGCACGTACTTTGAATGTAAATTTCTACTTGATATTGTTAATACAGGCCCGTAGGAAGCAATTTCACTTTGAGGGGGCACAACCATACATTTTTAGTTGGGAGGGGGGCACTATCAAGTACCAAAATTCCTTTACAAGCACAAAAAGGGGTCATCAGACGTTTTTATTGAGGGGGAATAAGCATAATCATAGTAACTATGTTTTCTATAGTATTCTATATATCGGCAAAATTATTGGGGGTGGGCACGCCCCCCCCCCCCGTTCCTACTGCCATGTAATACACTCATCTGAACAAACTATTGAATGTGTTGTTTTTATATTATATCTATAACGATATGGAATTCCTATTTAAAATACAGGATCCACAATATTTTATGACGCAGGGGCGAGAATGATATATTGTTTTAACCACTTATCATCGACAGGTTCCCGAAAACGTCGCAGAATGTTAATTATAGTTTACAATTGTAAACTATAGTTTACAGTTGTAAACTATAGTTTACAGTTGTAAACTATAGTTTACAGATATTTAAAGGGACTGGGACACAGATTTGAACCTCATATTTTCTGAAATTTTCTAAATAATATCATGACTTATATGTTGCTAGAGCATTTCACACCGAAATATATTAAAAGCATATGTAGGAACTTCTTTTATCTGGAAATTATTAAGACTACGAAATTCGGGACGCGTTTGATTGACACATATCCGTGCATTTTCACAAAGTAAACTCTATTCAAAATGATTAAGAAATGTAGAAATTTTGTTGTGAATTAATGAAAAATAAAAAAACTATAATCCAGAAAGTTCAGAGTAGAAGTGCGAGAAAGCAAAACCAACTCACTAGTATCGTCAGTCCGTGTTCAGTGATGTGTGCAGACTAAACAAATTGAACACACCCGGTAAAACGTAAAAACTAATAACAAAGAGACCATGACCTGTTTACAAAACACAGGTGTTTAACGTGATGTTATGAAGAATGTTGTCATTGAATTCTTAGAATATTCATATAAGTTCAAATCAATATACTGGAGTTATTTTTTAAATAAAAATAGACACTTAAAATTGTAAACAATGCAACTGTGTCCAGGCACCTTTAAGGTACCGAATTCACCATCCTCACAACGTCAGCTAGGGGTTCTGAGTCCACACGTGTCGTGGGGCCCCTGACAAACTTCATTAAGTATTTTACGGGCTGGCTGCAGCGAAATTCAAATCTTGATTGTTTTTCTAATCATCTTGGCCCATCATATTAATTAAGCCTTTAAATGAAAAACAAGCTGGGACACGTGCATTGACTCAATGATTGTGTACGTTTTATGTCAACTTTTGAAAGCCCCATTTTGATTGGTGCTTCTCAGTGAGAGAATCAAGCCCGTAAACAAAAGGCCAATGGGCCACATCGCTCACCTGAGCACATTGACTAAGGAGAAGCACAAATCAATTCAGTAGTGTTGAAAAGTTTACATTGGATGGGGGTGGGTGGGGGCGAGGGCGGGGGGACTTGATATTTAAACTACATGAGAATGCTTCCATATCAATATAACAAATAGCTTTACTGTTCTTGAGCTGAAGATTTTTAAAGATTTTCCCTATACATTCCTTTATAAAAATTTGATCCCCCATTCTGGCCCCTCCCTACTCCCGAGGGTCTTCATTTGAACTGAATTGAATCTACACTACCTGAGGATGCTTCCATATCAATATGACTAAAGTTGGCTGTGCTGTTCTAGAAAAGAAGATTTTTTCCTATATATACCTATGTAAAACTTTGATCCCCCATTGTGGCTTACCTTACCCCCAATGGTCATCATTTGAACAATCCCGAATCTACACTACGTAAGAATGCTTCCATTTCAAAATGACTAATCATGGCTTTGCTATTCCTGGGAAGATTTTCAATTTTTTTTCTATATATTCCTATGTAAAACTTTGATCCCATTGTGCCCCACCCTTCCCCGGGGGGTCATCATTTGAAGAAACTTGAATCTTCACTACCTGAGGACGCTTCCATATCAATATGACTAATCATGGCTTTTTCTTGAGAAAAAGATTTTTAAAGTTTTTTCCTATACATTCCTATGTAAAACTTTGTTCCCCCATTGTGGTCTCACCCAATTTCCGGGGGTCATCATTTGGACAAACTTGAATCTACACTATGTAAATAAGGTTTCCTTTAAGTTTTAACTATTCTGGCTCAGTGGTTCTTTGGAAGAAGTTTTTTTAAAACATGCCACCAAATTTTCAGTATTTCTGAATTATCTCCCCTTGAATGAGGGCTTGGCCCTTCATCAATCTAATTACAATTAAATCTTCCATTCTCTCCCCGATTTTTATTCCTCGCGACATATAAAAACGGAGGAGCGAATGGAAGATTTAATTTTAATTAGATTGAGCCCTTCATTTGAACAAACTTGAACCTCCTTCACCCAAGGATGTTTTGTGGCATGTTTGGTTGGAATTAGCCCAAAGGTTCTGGAGAAGAAGTCGAAAATGTGAAAAGTTTACGGACGGACGGACAGCTAGACAGACATATGGACTACAGACAAAATGTGATCAGAAAAGCTCACTTGAGCTTTCAGTTCATGTGAGCTAAAAACCAAAATGAAATTTGTCAGGGATCCTACGACTATGTGTGTACCCAGGACCCCTGATATTGTGTGGATGATATACACATGTATATAGAACTTACGGCAATGACACACATTGTTCAGATTCATAAACTACTAGTATATATTTAACAACTCTTAACTATGGTTTTCGAATATTAATTATAGATTAGATCGATAAACTATAATTGACAAATGTGAAGCATTTAATCTCTGAAAACTATAGTTATATTATCTATAGTTAAACTATCGTAATTATAGTTTAATTTATGAGTATAAATGACAGTTAACTATAGTTTACGATGAGAAAGGTGAAGATAACAGGTGATAGATCTAAAAAAAAAAAAAAAAAAAAAAAACAAAAAAACAAAAAAAAAAAACCTATTAACCAGGCGCGGATCTAGGAATATTTTCCAGGGGGGGGGGGGTCCACCCCAGTCAAAAAATTTCACCCAGACTGTTTGTTGACAAGCAAAAGAAAAAAAGGGGGTAAAGTCCATTTCTAAACGTGAAAAAACCTATTTCACGGTAGATCCACGTTTTCTAGGAGGGTTGGTTGGTTCCAAAGTCATTTTTTTTATTTGCTTCATTACATACATATTATTACTCTGCCAATTCGGGGGGGGGGGGCAAACACACTCTAGATCCTCTGCGCATGATTAACAATACAAATCTGTGAACAGGGCATAAAACATAGACCTCTGGAAGTTCCAGATGTGGAATCAGAAAATGTTTTTATTAAAGAGGATATGCTTAATTTATTGGAGTAACAGCCGAAACATTAATGTTACTGTAATGTCTTACATTCTGTACATTGTTATTTAGAAATTTGCAGATTTTGCATTTTTAGGTACAGTCACAAATGTGTCAATACCTGTATGACTAAATACATTGTTCATTGTTCAAATTGTTTTTATAATCATATTCTCACGCTTGAATTTTGCTGACTGACCATAAAGTCCTGTCTGCTGTTTATGTTAAAGTCAAAATCTGCTGCGTTTTGTTTATTTAACTTGGGAGGGCCTGCAGTTTGATATTTATTTTAATTATGAAACTATGCTGTTTCCTGTGTAGATTACTATTTAGTCTGTATTTTCACTCACAAAATTCATTCTTGTAAAAGACTCAGAAATGTACATGTCCAGACGTTATTAATCTCGGAGAAACTGTGGCCGATCACAATGTAAGTTTTACAAGTTTTCAGTTAATTGTTTTTAAAGCTGCAACTTTAAGGCTAATGTAAAGCGACATTAAATACCTCTGTAAAAGTTCATGTGTACTTTTAGCGAGTAAATCTGTGTATCTAATTTGTCAGGAATGTAACTTGATCGAGTTCATTCAAACTTTGTGTCTTTGTAGTGATTTTGTTTGTAGCTTGTATTTGTATATTTGTATTTGTTTATTATAGCTTTTTACCATCCACACATCCACTTACAACTCACACAGCTACTGTATATCGTCACCTATTGTAATCAGTGACACCTGCGCATATTAGGATCCGCGCCCCTATGTGAACTGTTTGTGACAAAAAAACCTGGTTAACTGACTGTAATCCGTGTTTATATGTTTCAATTAAAAATGGCATGGAAGGCAGTACAGTTACTTAACAATTCTTCTAGTTTTTCTGAACGAATATCTCATTCAAACGAACATGTCTATCCAAACAAAAGATCAATTTCTTCAAAACAAAGAACTACATGTATATACGGTAATAGCATATTTTTGCCCCCATAAAAGCCAAATTTTGAAAACATCTAGAAATGTACACAATTGTATATATTGTATGAAAATTCTGAATTAACAAAAATATTTGGTTTGGAAGTTAAGTCAGAAATTTTTTATTCTGTGACGTCACAAACTATTTGGATTTTTCATTATTCTCAAGAAAGAGGACAAAATGGACAAAATTAGTTCAATTCTGAGTATATAATGCCCCAGAACAATATTTACATATTTCATTGATACTATGCAGTTTATTATAATTCTACATAATATATCAAAAGAAAAACCGGCGCTGGATGACTTTTAATCAAAATATCGACGTGAAATACCCTTTTTTCCTCTCGAAATCATTAGAAATTTTAAATTACATCATCTTCCTGATATCTAAAATATGGCGTCATGGCTGATAAAAATGATATTTTCCCGCGTTTCAATAGTATAGCGGGAAAATGTTGTATTAATGACAAGATGTTTATACATATGTAGTGTGGATTGGTCAGAGAGTGACCAATATAAATTGATTTTGATGTGTAATAGAGGTTGGTCACCTCTAGCCGCCGATTTAAGCGAGGAACATCAAATTATGGACGCCAGGGATGTTCAACAGCAAATAAACACGTCAATTCAACAGGCAAACAATGAGATTTTGAGTCAGTTTTCCAGTATTTTGGACAGTCGACTGTCAACAGTTCAGAGAAGTATAAACGAAAATCAAAAGATTATCGCCGAGCGGCAAGAAGCTAAGTTTGAGCAAGTTTTTGCAGATAATTACAAATTTAAAAAGCGCGGTGATGAAGAACAATACAAGCACAATGTTTAAGTAATGGCAAAGCTGAAGGAGGCAAACGAAGAACTAGAAGAGAGCCGCATTCAAGGAGCGAGACAAAAGATAACAGAAGGTTATGACCTAATTAAGCAGAGACAAAAACTTGTTAAGTTAGCAGATTCGTCATCGGCTGGGTGGAGAGCTGTAGATGAATATATAAAGAACCCCATAGCTTCAGACTCAGATGATGAAAAAAGAATTTCCAAAGTGCAAATGAGGGCGGAGAGAAAAGTCAAGGACGAACGCATCAAACGTCGAAAGGATATGCGAGAGAAATGGAGGCCCTACCCTTCTATCAACGCTGCAGAAGGCAGTACTTCATCCTCTACAACGGCCGCAGTGTGGAGATCAGGGCAGTGCTACAGGTGTCATAAGCTAAGAAAGGACACTGGAAGAAAGACTGTACTGAGAAAATAGATGAAAAGATAAGTAGTTTTGTATTTGAATGTTTTGTCGCAAAGCAGTCATGTGAGACGAACACAGGTAAATCACCGGTATATAGACTGAGAAAAATGTAGGTCAATGGCGTTCGATTGAAGCGAGCAGGTATATGTTAAGTGTTATTGAATTTGGTTACAGACTGCCTTTATTTACAATTCCAAGTCCAATAGAACTTAAAAATAACAAATCTGCATTTGAAAATGCCAATTTTGTATCAACTGAAATAGAAAAAGCTGGTGAAAATGGGCTGTGTTCAAGAGGTTATTGACAAACCAAAAGTAGTGAATCCATTGACTGTAGCAGGTAATAAACAAAACAAAGGTTGTTTTAGATGCCAGCTAGGCATGTCAATCCACATTTATTTAAATACAAACACAAGTACGAAGACGCAAGTACATCACGTGAACTGTTTCAAGAGGGTGATTATATTTTTTTTAGGGATGGCAATTTGTAATCGGTTAACCGGTTACTAGGTCGGAACGATGGTAATCGGTTAGAAAATCTGTAATCGGTTAGTCGGAAGAAATTAATATAAGTTTAAATTTGAATACAATTTCCTGAAAATTCAATTTAAAAAATACAAATAAAATTTTCTGAAATGTTAGCATGTTCAGCTCTCTATTTAAGCTGATTTGGAGATAATTAAGGGTCTCCCGTTTGACATTGCATGGGGGTAATTGGTCGCTTTTCGAGTCGTTAATTGCTGTCTAAACACATGTCGTTACCCACCCTGTCCTGTGTTTCTTTAATGATTTTAATTAAATGATCGCTGACTTCTGTGAACTGATCATAATGTGTACCTTACCCCATCTATCCTTTGCAGTTACCACATGATGTTTCATGGGTTTCTTAAATTTTTCTTTGCTTTTTTCCTTTTTTTAGCCCATTAAAATTGAAATACAATATATGCTATGTAGTATTCTGATCATATATAAATATAAGCATAATATTACTACATGAACATCTTTATAGTCTTACTTATTTGAGTGTAGCTATGTCGAGAATTTTTGATACGATTAACCGACTAATCGGTCGGAACGTCTTATGATTAACCGATTGGCAATTCTGTATTTGATTGCCATCCCTAATTTGATTTGAAAAGCGCTTATCATCATATTATGATAAATGAGTTGGACAGAGAGTATTTGGGTTTTAAATGGAAAAACAAATTCTATGTGTTTAACGTTCTGCCATTTGGCATCAGTACTACTGGATATATTTTTACAAAGGTTTTGCGAGAAGTAGTTAAATTTTGGAGATCGAAGAGTTACAAAATCGTTATGTATTTAGATGACGGCATAGGTGGCACAGAAACTTAAGATCACGCTAGAATTGTTAGTGAAAAAATCAAGCTGATTTAAATGCATTAGGTTTTTTAGTGGCTGATGAGAAATGTCATTGGGAACCAGTTCAAGAAATAACTTGGTTAGAGTTCGTTTGGAACACAAATCTTGATAGAATATCAGTCTCGAATTCTAGGATAAACAAACTTAAAGCAAGTATTCAAAATATTTTGCAAGGCATCAAAGCCGGATACAAATGGTTTGAAGTTCGATTCGTTGCATCAGTAATCGGTCAGATCCTTTCAACACAAGCGGTGTTTGGTGATGCGGTTAGGCTCAGAACCAGGTATATGTATTATTGCATTTTAATAAGATCCAGTTGGAATTCTTATATTATGTTGAGTAAGGAAGCTGTAGAGGAGCTTCAGTTTTGGTTACAAAATTTAGAAAGCATGAATGAAATGGGCGATCGGTTGAGTAAGGTCATGGACAAAGATGTCAGACAAATTGAAGTATATTGTGATGCTTCAGATTCTGGATATGGAGGTCATTTGACTCTAAGTTCAAAGGATGAACAGAAGGAATTTGAATGGTATGTTATTTGGAATGAATGTGAATGTAGACAGAGTTCCACATGGAGGGAACTGGAAACTGTTAAGAGAATTTTAGATAATTAGGTAGATTTGGTCAAGAGCAATTCAGTTGAAGTAAATTCATATAACAAGAATGTGCCACACATACTTAAGGTAGGTAGTAGAAATAAGTGTTTGCAGGACATTGCTATGTCTGTGCATGGGCTGTGTAAGGAGGAGAATATTCAGTTGAATTGTAAATGGTTGCCTAGAACTGCTAATAAGACAGCAGATACACTAAGCAGGATGAGTGATTGTGATGACTGGGCTATCAAACAGGGAGTGTTTGAGTATTTTGATGAAGCATGGGGTAAGCATACATGTGATAGATTTGCTTCTAAATATAACATTAAGTATGAAGTATTCAATTCCAAATATTGGTGTGCTGAATCAAGCGGAGTCGATGCTTTTGAACAGGTATGGTCAGATTGTGTTAACTGGGTTGTACCACCACCTTGTCTGATACAAAGATGTGTAAGAAAAATTGAGTCTGAGAAGTGTAAGTGTACTTTGGTAATACCAGAGTGGAAATCTGCACCCTTCTGGTCAATGTTGGTCTGTAAGGATGGCAATTTCATTTGGTATGTACGAAATGTAGCAAAACTTAAAAATGTTGAACTTGTGTGCAGAGGTTTGGGAAAAAACGGGATATTTGGTAAAGAGGGACTTGTGTTTAATATGATGTTTTTAAGAATTGAATTTTGATATTGCAGGAATAGGATTGCAGGATAGAGTTCGAAAGATAGCGCTGGACAGTGGAGTGAAACCTGGCAGTTATTTGGACGACCTTTGCCCCCACATGAGTGTTTTGATATTATCAAGTAAAAGTGACAACACGAACAAAAACTATTTTAACGCTTTCAAAAGATGGGAGACCTTCATCAAATCATATGGACATAGTGCACTTCCGGCAAACCCCATTTATGTTGCATTGTATTTGACACACCTTTTAGATAATGGCGCAACACAACATCCAATTAATTCGGCAGTGTACGGGATCAAGTGGGCGCATGACTGTTTGGGTTTTACAGATCCTACTAAAAATTCAGTTGTTCTATCTATACAGGAAGCAGCAAGGAGAAAAGTTTCTAAAACTGTGAACAAAAAGGAACCGATTACCGAAGAAGTGCTAATAGAATTATGTAGTAAGTTCCAGGAATCAACAGATTTGTTAATTGTTCGAAATCTCACAATGATTTTGTTTAGTTTCGCTTGTTTCTTGCGATTTGATGAGTTAAGCTCTCTCTGTTTCAACGATGTACTAATTCGTGACGATTATTTAGTGATATGCATCAGAAAAAGTAAGACAGATCAATATCGGCAAGGGAATGAAGTACTTATATCAAAAGGGGATACGCCTGCTTGTCCGTTGAGCATGTACCAGCGCTATTTGGGGCTTATTGGTGATGTGGATGATAAACATTTTTTTGTATTCAGACCTATTTTTAGGTCAAAAGACAATTGTAAACTGATTTATAAAAATAAAAAGATAAGTTATTCTGCTGCAAGAAATAACATAATACCACTTATTAAATCTGTTGTTGGGGAGGTTGATATAGGGCTTCATTCTTTCAGGTCGGGGGGGGGGGGGGGGGCGACTGTGGCTGCAAACGCTAGTGTTGATGATAGATGTCTCAAAAGACATGGCAGGTGGAAAACTGATAGTTTAAAAGACGGATATATTGTTGATTCAGTTGAAAAGCGTTTGCTAGTCTCTAAATCTCTTGGTTTGTAATCACAGTCGTTGTTTTTGCCCATACTTTGTAATTTCTAGCGCACGCTCGGCTGGCTGTCATGCATAACATGTTGTTGTTTTTCATGTTGGTATAAAAGTAATGGAGTGAATACTGATATTTCCCGCGTTTCGATAGTATAGCGGGAAAATGTTGTATTAATGACAAGATGTTTATACACATGTAGTGTGGATTGGTCAGAGAGTGACCAATAGAAATTGAATTTGATGTGTAATAGAGAACTGGTTTTAAAGCGAGCAACTTCAAAGTTTTCATAATTTGTAGATATAAGAAATTTTTTTTATCAGGTATACATGGAGGTTGTGAGGTCCGTCGCAACGATTTTTGCATCCAGCGGCACTTGGCAACGGACACAGGTTTCTAGAGTTTTTAAAATTATTTTATCTCTAGTTTTTCCTGGCCGGCCTTGATGCTTTTCAAAATTTTCAAATGATATAATTATTATATATGCAGCAGTTTTTGCAAATTTGATGGTTTTGTTTCGTCATACAATGTACTGTATGTATACATTGATTTATTGTTTTGTGAGACTGTCAATAAAATACGGTGTCCAGCGCACGCTCGGCTGGCTGTCATGCATAACATGTTGTTGTTTTTCATGTTGGTATAAAAGTAATGGAGTGAATACTAAGTAATGCTTTCATGTCTGTGGATATCCCACTGGCTTAGAACATAACTATAGATTTCTCTATCAAAGTTGATGTTGGGGGGCAAATATTAGTATTACAGAATGTCAGAATAATTAGCTGCGACAGACATTTCTGGTATATTGTCCAAAAGACCTACAGTTCTGCAGCTAGAATAGATAAATAATTTACGGGTTTTTCATTCATTTGACGAAGGGGCGGGGGTACTTTTTATCATGGGAAAGATTCTCCAGAAATATCTTTATTATTCAAGAAGGTCTAACAAACTTTACTGTATACATCAAAACCATACAAACTTTTATCCCGGTAAAACTGACACTTTGCAAGCTATATATAACTATCCAGTGATAAAGTTACAGAAAATAGTACCTAACACTATCTTATACGTATATTAAAAAAAAATAACAGTAAACGTGATAAATTTAATTACGCCTGCATCATGCTATGGTAAACATCAAAATAGATTAAATGTTCGATATCATACTGCATTGAAACCTGTAGGTATAAACAATTACTGAGATTCTAATAGAACACAAAAGGGGAATTTTTTTTAAGTTCCCTACATAACGTATACTAATTAAATTATCACCGAAGAGACGTACAGATACGCATTATCGAAAGTTAAGTAATTTGAGACAACTAAAGCGCGTTACATTGATTTATGTAATGTGTTCCTTTGTCACAATTGAACTTGTATAAGACCAGGAAGTCAGTCGAATGAACATTTGTCTATATGTCATGATCCAAATTCTTGCTGTGTTACACATCATAGTACTTCTGGACACCCATCAACAAATCTATTGTTTACTAACTGTTTTATACATTCTGTCAGTATCACTGGAGATACATCTAATAATTAAAAGGATCATAAGGTGTGACCATAAGAAACGGACATATTCTCAAAATTACATTCTACATGATCATGTACTTGAGTCAGTAAGCTCAGCCAAGTATTTAGGTGTAACATTACAGTCAAATCTAAAGTGGAACATACATTATGACAATATTATTGCAAATGCAAATAAATCATTAGGATTCCTTAAACGAAATCTGAAAATTTCAAACACAGAAGTAAAATCCAGAGCCTATCAAGCAATAGCGCGACCTAAACTCGAGTATTGTTGTAGTGTTTGGGATCCACATACGACACTGTATAGACAAAAACTTGAAATGGTTCAGAGAAGGGCGGCTCGCTATGTACATAACAATTACCACAATACCAGTAGCGTTACAGACATGATTAGTACACTACAGTGGCCAACACTAGCTGAGCGACGCCTCAAAACCAGATTAATAATGTTTTACAAGGTAGTTCATCAACTTGTTGCTATACCCACAGACATACTCATACCTACTGATGCAAGAACCAGACAAAATCACACACAAACATACAGACACTTACAAGCATCAAAAGAAACATACAAATGGTCCTTTTTTCCACAAACTATAATACAATGGAATTTGCTTCCCCAGTCTGTTGTCCAAGCCACTAAAGTAGAAATTTTTAGAGAACAGCTAACCCCAGCTGTCCTCAACAGTATCATGTAAAAAGTAACATTTCTTTTAATCACAAATGTAAATAAAAGCACAGTTTTTTCTTTATATTAAGTTTGCTTAGGCCACGCATGCGCACCAGCAAGTAATCTTCAGCGCTCTGAAGTTTTGTTGTAAATAGAAGAAGACCAGTCGACAAGGGATGCTTACTCTTTCATGGCACTTGATCCCGTGCAGCTCTGATGTTTTAATAATTTTATTTACTCTGGTCACAGTTTGTATTGTTTTAATGGACTTTTGAGTTTGACTACTGTTCGTTATTTTCATAGTTCATTAACAAATTCCACCCCAAGCTGTGTTACATATGCCAGTTCTAATAGAGATCTATCAACAAATCCCATCTCCAACCCAAGCTGTATTACGTATGCAAGTTCTACTAGGGATCCATCAACAAATCACCCCCAAGCTGTGTTACACATATGCCAGTTTTTCTAGGGATCTAGCAAGCTGTGTTACACATGTTGTCAGTTCTACTGGGGATCTGTCAACAAATCCCATGTCTAACTTTGCTACACATGTTGTAAGTATTACAGGGAACCCCTCAACAAATCCCACTTCTAGCTGTTTTCAATGTTGTCTATACTACTGGGGATCTGTCAATAAATCCCATCTCTAGCTGTGTTCTAAATATCGTATGTACTTCAGGGGATCTGTCAATAAATTTCACCTCTAGTTATGATAAACATGTCTATATTACGTGGGACTCTTCAACAAGTCCCACCTCTAGCTGTGTAACATGTTGTCTGTATTACTGGGGACCCTATAACAAATTCCATCTCTAGCTGTGTTACACATGTTGTCTGTGTTACTTGGGACCCTTCAACAAATCCCATCTCTAGCTGCGTTACACAAGTCGTCTGCATTACTGGGGGCCCCTAAACAAATCCCACCTCTAGCTGTATTACACACGTTGTCTTTACTACTTGGGATCTGTCAATAAATCCCATCTTTAGCTGTGTTACATATGTTGTCTGCATTACAGGGGACCCTCAATAAATTCCACCTCTAGCTGTGTTACACATGTCTGTATTACTGGGGACCCTTAAACAAATTCCATCTCTTGTTGTGTTACACATGTTGTCCGTATATAACTGGGGACCCCTCAACCAATCTCACCTCTAGCTGTGTTACACAAGTCGTCAGTATTTCTGGGAACCCCTAATCAACTTTCTAGTTAAAGGGACCAGAACACAGATTTGAAGTTAATAGTTTCTCAATTTTCTGTATATTATCATGACTTAAATGATGCTATAGCATATAATATTAAAAAAGCATGTTTAGAAAATTCTTTTATCTGAACATTATTGAAACTAGAATTTAGGGACGCGTTAGATTGACACATCCCTGCACTTTCACAAAGTAAACTTTATCCTTAATACTTAAGAAAAGTAGAAATGCTGTTGTGTATTAATGAAAAATAATTAAGGGTGAATTAAAAAAAAATGACCACAAAACTGAATTTTTTTTGGAAAAATTCAACTACTTGTAACATTTTTTCACTTATATCATCATATTGCACATGCATTCCAGTTTAAAATCCTGAAGTGGCAATAGAATAGACAATTGGATTAAAAAGTTCCAGAATTTTATTAGTAAAATTTCTTTTGAAAAAAGAAATTATCATTACACCTTAAAAGACTTTCTAAAATACATAATCACAAGATATTACAGTTATTTATGCTTCAAAATGGTAAAAGGGGTACAAATGATTAAATCTAGAACTTGATTGAGTATCTTCTCTTGTATATATGACAAAATATTGGCTTTTTGAATGTTTTTTTTACATTATTTTTTTCAATTCTGGTTTGAAAAGTTTTAATATGGAAAAAAATATGAAGCAATAAAATTCTCCAAAATTCACTTTTTTGTCCGTTCAAGTCAATTCTTTAAATCTAAGTCAAAAAGGAATTTTTATATACGAGTTCTCTTACAAAAATACTAGATTTTGAAGTGACCCTATTTTACATCATGGTGTTGCACTCCTGACATCTGATATATATTTTATTTAACATTTTTTTGAAAAAATATAACACACAATAACCCATTCTTACTTTGTAAATCAATCTGTCGTTTTGATATTTTTCATCGTTTACGGCAGGTTTTTCATATTTTGAAGACCTTAAAACATGATTATTTGCAAGATTTAATGTATATAAATTATATTTAGAAATATATGTGAAATGCTGAAAACTATTCCCTGAATCGACCGTAAAATTTCTGTAATTTGTTGATAGACATAGTGTTTTGAACATCAAATAGTATCAAACATTTTTTTCAACTTATTTTTGAGTAAAGATGGGTTAAAAAGCATTGGTAATTATAAAGCAGTTTTGTTGCACTCCTGACTGCAGTAAAATTTAAAATTAAAACCACAGAACACAAAAATTCATAAAGTGTTGGCAACATCAAGTGGTAATGAAATTGTGCAATATTTATAACCCAATACTTCATAATTAAAGAGATGAAAGTATTTAAAATTCGCATTTTATCTGGAATTATTCCCTATTTATGCAAAAAAACTAGCTTAAGGAGGAGAAGGACCTTGAGCTGAAAAAATACTTGTCATTCAATTTTTTTCAAATTTTGTATATTTCTAATTAAGTATGTCCCACATATCTTAAAGCAGTTATATCATTAGGTTTCTTACCTTATTTTGGAGATATTGATTGACAAATACTATGCCCTACAGTATCTAAGTGGAGTTTTAATTCTCCATGTTTCCGGGCGCATTACTCTGTCAATAATGGGATTTTTTAAGCATACATAAAAATATCAAAGTG